TTGCGTGGAAAAGCAGACCGCCTCCACGGCTCCCTGGAACCACATGGAGCCTGCACCCCCACCAGCTAGCTCGAAGGTCCAGTCCCCCGCCAGCAAGGGAAGAACCACCCCCCCACTGTCCCCCCCCACCCCCCAACCAGCCCGGAAACTTCACCTGGGGGTTGCCTGCCTAACCCTAGTCTCACAGGGAGAAGCAAGTGACAAAGATTTGCAAAACCGCAGCGGAGGGAGGCTGTGAGGGCACAGCAGAGTAAACACAGCGGCACCAGCGCCCCACAGAGTCTTGGGGGGTGGGGAGGAGCTGGACTCTGCGGCAGGGGCAGAGCCACCAGTGTGGAGGACAGGAGGAAGGTGGCAGAAAATAAGGCTGGCAGGGCCTGTGCCCAACTGTAACCTGGGCACTGTGGGGTGCTCTCACACGGTACCATGTCAGGACACATACTTCATCCAAATTTCATTCCACAAGAACATGACTGTCTCAACGTTTTAAATTTTCAAGTGCTGAACACCCAGGAGACTGCCTCTGCGTTGATTTTGAGTCACAGGGTGAGCTAGCTTTTGTGCAGTTTGGAATAAACTCTCCTGCCAGTCCTTGCTAGGCACTAGAATTTCTCAAGAAGGAGCAACTGGCCAAAAGCTTGCAGTTCTTCACAGATCTGTGGTGATTCCACCCAAGGTGAGCCAGCAAAGGCCACACGCGCTTTTCCTGCCCATCAGACAGCAAACAGCTGTAGCCCCTAGAGGGGCAATTAAATGCACAGCTGCAACCCAGCTATCCCCCTCTCGGAATTCAGATTACAGGACACACCGAATACACACGTACAGGTTACATATGCACTGAAGCGTAACTACTATGAAGTCTGTCAGAATTGCAACAACACAGAAAACTGGACGGGATTTCCGTGTTCGCCAGTAAGGAGCAGTATAAAGCCGGCACAGCAGCGCCACACAGGCACTTAAACAACAGAACAAACACAAGCATGCTCATCTCCTCTGAGAAACCCAAGAAACACTGCCAGTGTTTCAGGAGGACGCTCTAGCCCAGAAAGCATACAGCTGCATTTTTCTTACATCAACAATTTGTGTAAACTTTATACACAGATCATAAATACGCTGGGACTGAAGAAAAACACCGAAACCAGAATTTTTATCCAGCCCAAGATGTGTCCTCCGAAGTACTGATGCAGTCACAGCAGCTCCTCCTGGCCTCATCAAGTTTTGCTGCACAGGAAACTGTTTTGTAAATGCTACTGGGGAACCAAAACAAGAAGACAAGTCCAGCAGAGGCTACAAAGGCGTGAGGGATAAAGGTGGCCAGGCGAACACCCATTTCTCTCTGCTCGGCATTTGATAGCTTCTCCCAGCCCGTCTGACTGGGTATCAGTAGAGCAGAGACACAAAGGACTCGGACAGACGCACAGTCACACACGGGAGTTCAGCCCATCAGCTGCAAACATGGCGCTGGGAACACAGCGGCCTCCTGGGGCGAGGCAACAATCAACAGAACAAGGGAAAGCTGGCGCTGAGGGGAGGTGCAGTGTGTGGGGCGGAAACTCCGTCAGCAAGAGGAGTGCTTTCCTCTGCCCCTATCTTGGGGGTCCGTGGGCCCCAGGTTTAGTCAATGAAATGTCCCCAAGCAGGCGACACCCAGAGCCTTGAGGAGCCTTGCGTTAGGCCTGGCGTCTGCGCTCCCGGCCAGGACGCAGCCTGTGGGGTCCGGAGAAGGAGCCGCACCTGGTGCAGAGCCGGGAGGCCCCAGCTGGGCTGACCTGCCCCTCGCGGGATGAAGTGGGGCGCCTGACACCCAGCAGTTTGTGGCAGCTGCTGATGGCACACCGTGACACCGATTCTGATGAGAACATTTGAGAATCCTCATTGTCAGCAAGATGTCAGGGGTGCGCAGCCAACTTACAGGGACCTGTGCTTTAACCCTGCGTTTTCATAGTGTGGGAAAAGCAGAAGTACCCTCTTAGGGTTGTGGGGGGGGGGTATGGGAAACCCTGCGGCCACTGAGTGTCTGGCCCCCAGTGGGCCACCTAAAATTGCATTCTCTTCCAATTTCTGGCCCTGGCATCTGCCAGCCAGCTTGTGGGAGCAAATGTCCGGTAGGCTCCTGGCCCAGAGGGTATTGGAATTCTGCCCTTTTTTTTAGGGGGCTGCGGTGGCTCAACAGGCAAGGGGGTGAGGTAGGCGGGAGGGGAGAGTGTGGCGGGGAGAGCGTCTCAAGTCTGCCCTTACCAGCAGCAAACGAAGGTATGGCCAGTGAGATGATGAATTTGCAGGGCACCACCTGGGGCACGTCGGAGGCGAAGGTGATGGGGGGCCAGTCGGAGGAGCCCAGGCTGCTGAGCAGGGGGTCGGATTCGGACTCCTGGGCGCGGGCCTTGGCCTTCAGGTACTCCTCCACCTCACACTCACTCATGGACTGGTAGAAGTTGACGGTGGAGGGCACGGCCCCCAAGCTTGCCTGGTCATCCTCCCACTCCCAGGGGTGCAGAGACATGCTGACGGGCCAGCGGCCGCCGGGCTGCGGGCTGGGAGAAGGCCGCAACGGCCGCCTGCCCCGCGGCTCCGCAGACCCTCTGCCCGCGTCTGGTCGGCCC